AAAAAAAAAAAAAAAAAAAAAAAAAAAAAAAAGAAGCTTACTTCTAATGCATCTACAGATTCCAAATTAATCTTTCCAGTGTACAGAAAATTAAGAATAACTCTAAAAGCTTGTGCTGCATTGTTAAGAAAACCAAAGTTAATTTCGATGACTGGTAAGGTTGCCAAAAAATTCTTATTACAAACAGACGCTTGTACCAAGTTTCTCAGATAGCTTGAGCTAGCTTCCAGAACAATTCGATGAGCAAGAATCCAGTCTTCTGAAAAAAGAGGATTTAAAAGCTATAAATACCTAGCTGTTGACTTTACCATTGCAAATTGCAAAGAACAGTGACGCAAATTTTCTCCCCATGTTTTTCCATTCCCTTTCCCTCTTCCCGTTTTCTAAGAAAAAAAAAAATACTTTTTTCTTATGCTAGCAATTATGCTTACAGAAAGAAATCACTCTATTCACGTTATTGCTATTCTTTTTTTTTCAAAGTTTTTTAAACAAATAATTGCTAAAAAATCTTATTAATAACGGTTACCATGTTTGGATCCATTAGTTGCATCTAATGTCAAAATTTTCACGCATACATCACCATTGCTAACTGCAGTGTTGTTTGGCGTCAAACTGTTGTTGTGTATTATTGTCGTAGAAATATTATTTGAACAAAGATTTATCGGATCATTGATAATATCAGTCATGCCACAGTAAATAATATTATTTCGTTACGTATAACAGCTATTGTTTTTGTTTTTTTTCTTATCCTTTTATACTGTTCTTCTTTTTTTATTTTTCTCTGAAACAACACAAAGTTTATTCAACTATTGACAAGATTATAAAGCCACCTACCGTCTTTTGTTCATATGTTTTTTTTTAAACTCATAAAGCGTATCATTATTGTAAGCTTTTACAAAAAATTTACAAAAACGTGCATTTAAAATCTACTTATAAACCTGTCAATTTTTTAAGAGTGTAAGAAGGTTAAATAGACAAAAAATAAAATAAGAAAGAAGAAATTAAAAAAAAAAAAAACCGAAAAAAAAGTCAACATTGTTTTTCAAATTCTTTTCTTTTTTTTTTTTTTACTTATTGCAACTTCAAAAGAAAACAGCATAAACTTTATTACAATCAGTTGAACTTAATTATTGCATAACTAGAAAGTATTATTTTAGAGCAAAGTTACAAAACTATAAAATTTTCTATAGAATTAAGAAATAATGCTGAAAATGTTTGTGAAGTTCTACTAGTCTTTTTCACCCATCCTGTCCTTTCTATCCTTTCAAAAACACTGACAACCAAAGCAGAGTGCTGTTTAAAACTGATCGAAAACAGTTAGAAACAAACTTCCAAGCAAAAAAAAAAATGTTACAAATTATAGAATGTTCAATGAATATGCACAAAAATAAAAGAGTTTTTCAACAAATAAATCATCTACAAAGTTTTTTGTTCAGTCAATTTTATTCTTTTTTTTTTTCCCAACCTTGTAGGTGACATATTCGTTGAGAAACTTTCAAGAAAAGAGAACCTTTCGAGTTATTAAAAATATCGTCACCGGCTTTGTGCATAAACCGCCGTATCCTTATCTCATTCTTTACACTTAATATATCTTGCTAATTTATTCTTCTAAAAATCATTTTGACTGCTTAACGCTGTGAAAAACTTTGGAACAAATTAAAAAGCTTAACAAAACAAATAACTGAGAACAGAAGAAAGAACAAAAGAAAATATAATCTGAAACTTTTTTCTTTTTTTTTAATATAAAAACAACCGGTTTTTTTCATTTTGTTCAAGTTCTTTTTATAGATTTTTTGGTGGAACAATTGTTGAAGCCATTACAGTTTCGTTTAGTCAATTTTATTCTTTTTTTTTAAATTAAATTTTGGAGAAAAATTTTTACTATTTATTTTCTAAACTACCTGCTTTGCTTACCAAAAATAATAGCGGCTAATATGTAGCTGGACAGCTAACAATAAGCATAACAAAAAAACTTTCATTTTTTGGTCGGTTTAGCCAGTTATTTCAATTTTTATATAAAAAAATAAATTAAGCATAAGCTTATTTTGTTTTTGCACTTATTCGTCGACTTGAAATATCCGCATCAGATAAACTCAATAAATAATGCCTTCTTATGCCTAAATAGTTCCAAGTTATGACACAATAAAAAACTGTATTATTCTGTTAAAATTTTGATTTCAAATTCATTCATTCCCTTCTCAGGTTTTACATTAAAAAGTATCACAACAGTATTAAATGTAATTATGCAAAAAAGAAGAAGAAAAAAGACAGAAGTTTTAATTAAACACATTTTAATCAAATAAAACGAAATTTTTTATTCTTTTTTCTTTGCCTGCCAGTTAAAAAGTATTGATAAAAAGAAGAAAAATTAATTGAAATATAAGAAAATAGTTTTTTGAAAAGTTTGTAACAGCAGCAAAAATGAAAATTTATGTGGCGATAATTCAAATTTAAAACAGACAAATCAGATGATTGACTGACTGAATGAACAAACAAACAAGGTGAACCTACTGATTGAACAGATTGAACGATGTGCAGTTAGTTGATGTTTTTTTGTAGTTCAGAAGAAATTTGACAATTTCATAAAATCATTTTTGTCGGTTATAAATTTTTAAGAAATAAATAGTTTAACTTGGTAAAAATGTTGTCGCCGAACTGTACTTATAGGCTTATCGTAGTCAACCTTCGACTTTCCCAACATTCGTTCCCTGCCGTCTCTCCTTCTCTCTCCATCCCTTCCCTCCCGCTTTCCACAACACATTCTCGGTGCTTTGTTAAACTACAATCAGACATTGCGAAAAGGGCATAAAGAAGAAAACGGAGAAAGACGTCAATAAACAAGTGGAAGAACTTTTTCTTGCAGTTAACAGAGCGACGAATTTGATTATAAAACTGTGTCTTGAAAGGGCAACCAAAAAAGCTGGATGCCTGTCCGAAGTTGCTGACGCTTCGGTGTTAATTTCTCCAAAACGCCTGCTTCTAAAGACGCACAAAAAAGCCTTTCTTTTTCTTCAGTTTCTTCATTAACATGATGATGATGATGATGGTTATAATGGAAAAAAACCTTTTTGTTCTGTTCCGGCACTTTTTTATAGAAACAATGACGGTGCATTTAACGCTCATAGAAACTTAAAAATAAAGATCAAATCAAGCGATCTAAAAAAAAAAAATTGTGGTATTCTTTCTAAACTTTACGGTAGACACTGCAATAAAAATTATGTTGTAGCTAATGTTTGAAATAATGCTTTCAAAACTATAACCAATAACAAAAAGAAGAAAATGGCAAATAACAGAAATATTGACCTGATATTAGTGGTAGATAAAAAAAAAAAAAATTTATTCTTCTTCATAGAACGTAACACGAACAAAGTTAGCAATCAAAGCAGTTTGACAGTTACGTCAAGTGACTGGATGTCAGTTTTTCATCTTTTTTCTTGTTTCGTTGATCACTGTTCAGATGACTGAATGTTAATGTTTAAAAATTCAAAATTATTCTGCGTTGTTTTCTAAAAAAAATAATGACGATAAAGTTGGCTAAATGACTAATCAAAAAATAAAAAAATTAACAGTAAATCAAACATTTTTTCATTTTTCTAAAAAAAAAAATGTAAGAATGATGTATCAGTTTTAAATAACCATAATTCATACCACGCAGAAAACCGAAACAAAAGTAAGATAACAGAAGAAGTGCAAGAAAAAATTTGAACATAAATCAAAAAAAAATTTTTTTTGAATTGGCTTGCCAACAGTATTCAGCTAAAACAAATAAAAAGTACCGCAAGGAAAAAGATGATAAAATCGAGAAACTTTGGCGTGAATAATCAATTTGTCCATTTTGACGCTATAAGTTGAACAACCAAATTATTCAGGTAAATTTGATTTGCAAAAACTTTTCTCGCATCTTTCAAAAACAATGGCAAGGAAAAACAAAGGTGAAAACAGATTCGCAAAAATTTTCTACTTATTATTTTCATCGTTATAAAAAGCCATCATTTTTGAGTACATTTTGACCAGTGATATAGCTGCGGTTATTCCAAAAAAAAAAAAAAAACTACCATCTTTTTGCAACTGCACTATATTCGTCGTTCTTTATATATCCGCAAATGCGTCATTGCATATTCTTTAAGATTCTTTTGTCTATATAGCTGATAACTCTTTTTTGTTGAATTTTCTGTAACAGTCTTTTATTCTCAGGTCTGTATTCGGTTATCATCATTATTATTATTTTAAACTACC